GAAGTGTTGCAGCGGGGCAGCGCCGCGGCAGGCACTTCGGACACCTCTCCTCGGAGTTTCCTCAGAGGGTCGGGTCCCACATCCCTGCCACAGGATGGGTGGCCAGAGAAGAGAGAGCGGAGTCGTCGTTGTGCTGACCTGCCCTGTATCCTGCAGCAGGTCAGTATGTAATCCCCCGACCCCCGGTGACACTGACAGCACTGCAGCTTAACCACCTCCCGCCATATAAGGAAATGACAGGCGGGCAGTGGTACTCTTGTTCTGGGAGGACATCATATGACGTCCTCCCACTCCAACGATCGGTGGTGCACTGTGTCCCTGGGACACAGCGGATCACTGATCACCGGAAAGAGCCGAAGACGTCGGCTTGTTCATGTGAATAGCTGTGTCCAATCACAGCTGATCGCATGTAAATAAGGAAATGCCGGTTATTGGCATTCCTCTCCTCACGAGCTGTCACGCTGACAGCTGGTGAGGAGAGAAGAGCTGATAATCGGCATTCCTCAGAGGTGGACATCTACACTGATCATCAGGGCACTGATCAGTAGCCCCATCAGTGTCACCTGTCAGTGTCCATTAATTTCACCTGTCAGTGTCCGTCAATGCCACCTGTTAGTGCCAATCAATGCACATCAGTGCCACATATCATTGCTAATCAAAAGCCACCTGTCAGAGCCGATCAATGGCACATGTCAGTGCCTACCAGTGCACATAAATGCCATATATCAGTGCCAATCTGAGCTGCCTATCAGTGCTAGTCAGTGCCACCTATGAGTTCTGCCAATCAGTGCCGCCTATCAGTGCCCGTCAGTGCCACCTAACAGTGCCAGTCAGTGCTGCCTATCAGTGCCGCCTATCAGTGCCATATATGAGTGCTGCCTTTCAGTGCCCATCAGTGATGTCTGTCAATGCCCATCAGTGCCACCTACCAGTGCGTCCTCATCAGTGCTGCCTATCAATGCCCATCAGTGTCGCCTTATCAGTGCCCATCACTGCAGCCTCATTAGCGCACATCAGTGAAGGAGAAAAATTACTAATTTACAAAATTTGTAAAAGTAACTAAGAAAAAAAACTTTTTTTTTCAAAATTTTCAGTTGTTTTTTGATTAGCTTAGCAAAAAATAAAAACCCAGAGGGGATTAAATACCACCAAAAAAAGCTCTATCTGTCTCAAAAAAATGATAAAAATGTCATACGAGGACAGTGTTGCATGACCGCGCAACTGTCATTCAAAGTGTGACAGCGCTGAAAGCTGAAAAGGGGGCATAAGTGCCCGGTAGGCAAGGGGTTAATAGTAGTCTTCTATTCTATATTCCCTATATAAAACAGTGATATCTGTACACTGAGTGGCACCCAGTGTACAGATGTCAGTGTTATATATAGGGAATAGCACGCAATGTACAGATATCAGTGTTATATATAAGGAATAGCACTCAGTGTACAGATATCAGTGATATATACAGTGGCTTGAAAAAGTCTTCCTCACAACTGAAATGTCCCCCCATGTTGTCATGTTACAATGTATTTATTGGGATCGGATGTGATAGACCAACACAAAGTGGCACATAATTGTGAAGTGGAAGGAAAATGAGAAATGGTTCCAACATTTGTGACCAATAAATCTGTGAAAAGTGTGGCAGCATTTGTATTCTGCCCCTGGAGTCAGTATTTTGTAGGACTCCCTTTGGCTGCAATTCCATCTGCAAGTCTTTTTGGGGACATCTCTCCCAGCTTTGCACATCTTCAGAGGGTCTTTTCTGCCCATTCTTCTTTGCAGAATCACTCAAGCTCTGTTATTGGATGGAGAGCGTCTGTGAACAGCAATTTTCAGGTCTGGCCACAGATTCTCCATTGGATTTTGGTCTGGACTGTGACTGGGCCATTCTAACACATGAATATGCTTGGTTTAGAAAGTTTGGAGACCCCAAATTTAGATCAAAGGGCCAGTTTACTGTCCTTCAGGTTTTTGGGGGCCGGACTGTGGTCTTTGGGATCAGAAATTGTCCTGGCATCAGTGGGAGTAAACCATGCATGTTTAGTATTAGGGGGAGGAATAGCATCCCACCCAGGGGCGGACTGACCATTTGAAAACTCGGGCACTGCCCGAGGGCCCGGGGTCAGTAGGGGGCCCCATGAGATGCCCCTGGTACCTTTTTCATAGACTTTTTTGAGTTTGGGCAAGGACACAGGGGCCCCATGATCCCCTATTGCCCGGGGGCCCCATGCGTTGTCAGCCCGCCCCTGATCCCACCTTTGGTGTGTCAATGGGAGGAATAGTGCCCCATCGTTGGTATCAGTGGGAGGAATAATGCCCCATCATTGGTATTAGTGGGATGAATAGTGCCTTATCATTCATGTCAGTGAAAGGAATAATGTCCTATCATTGGTGTCAGTGGGAAGAATAGTGCCACATCATTGGTGTCAGTGGGAGGAATAGTGCCCTATCATTGGTGTCAGTGGGAGGAATAGGAAAAATTCATTAAAACCTTAATTTTGAAATGTACCATTGTTACACTCTCTTTAATGTAAGTGTTTTTTTTCTTTATTTTGTGTAATAAACATTTATTTTGAACATACTGTAGAGAAAGTTTGTGACAAACGCATGTATTGAGGGCAGTGTAATATGTAGGTGGGACTTTGTGTGGGTGCGGCTTGAGTGGGCAGGGACACAGGGGGCCCCATGATCTCCTATTGCCCGGGGGCCCCATGAGTTGGCAGTCCACCCCTGATCAGGAGGCATAGGGGCCTATTCACTAAGAGTTACAGTCATGGCCGAAATTGTTGGCACCCTTGATATTTTTCCTGAAAATCAAGTATTTCACACAAAAAAGGTATTGCATTAACACATGTTTTGCTATACACATTTTTATTCCCTTTGTATGTATTGGAACAAATATAAAACAGAGGCAGAAAAGCAAATATGACATAATGTCACACAAAACCCCAAAAATGGGCTGGACAAAAGTATTGGCACCCTTAACTTAATATTTGGTTGCACACCCTTTGGAAAACATAACTGAAATCAGTCGCTTCCTATAACCATCAATAAGCTTCTGACACCTCTCACCCGGAATTTTGGACCACTCTTCCTTTGCAAACAGCTCCAGGTCTCTCTTATTGGAAGGACACCTTTTCCCAACAGCAATTTTTAAGATCTCTCCGCAGGTGTTCAATGGGATTTAGATCTGGGCTCATTGCTGGCCACTTCAGAACTCTCCAGCGCTTCTTTGCCATCCATTTCTGAGTGCTTTTTGACGTATGTTTGGGGTCATTGTCCTGCTGGAAGACCCAGGATCTTGGACGCAAACCCAGCTTTCTGACACTGGGCCCTACAGTGCGACCCAAAATCCTTTGGTAATCCTCAGATTTCATGATGCCTTGCACACAGTAAAGGCACCCAGTGCCAGAGGCAGCAAAAACAACCCCAAAACATCATTGAACCTCCACCATATTTTACCGTAGGTACTGTGTTTTTGTTCTTTGTAGGCCTCATTCCGTTTTCGGTAAACAGTAGAATGATGTGCTTTACCGAAAAGCTCTATCTTGGTCTCATCTGTCCACAAGACGTTTTCCCAGAAGGCTTTTGGCTTACTCAAGTACATTTTGGCAAACTGTAGTCTTGCTTTTTTATGTCTCTGTGTCAGCAGTGGGGTCCTCCTGGGTCTCCTGCCATAGCGTTTCATTTCATTTAAATGTCGACGGATAGTTCGCGCTGACACTGATGCTCCCTGAGCCTGCAGGACAGCTTGAATGTCTTTGGAACATGTTTGGGGCTGCTTATCCACCATCCGGACTATTCTGCGTTGCAATCTTTCATCAATTTTCCTCATCCGTCCACGACCAGGGAGATTAGCTACAGTGCCATGGGTTGCAAACTTCTTGATAATGTTGCGCACTGTGGACAAAGGCAAATCTAGTTCTCTGGAGATGGACTTGTAACCTTGAGATTGTTGATATTTTGCCACAATTTTGGTTCTCAGGTCCTCAGACAGTTCTCGTCTCCTCTTTCTGTTGTCCATGCTTAGTGTGGCACAGACAGACACACAATGCAAAGGTTAAGTGAACGTCTCTCCTTTTTATCTGCTTTCAGGTGTGATTTCTATATTGCCCACACCTGTTACTTGCCCCAGGTGAGTTTACAGGAGCATCACATGCTTGTAACATTCTTATTTATCCGCAGTTGTGAAAGGGTGCCAATACTTTTGTCCAGCCCATTTTTGGAGGTTTGTGTGACATTATGTCGAATTTGCTTTCTTTCTTTCCTCCCTTTTTTTGTTTTGTCCCAATACACACAAAGGGAATAAACATGTGTATAGCAAAACATGTGTTAATGCAATACGTTTCGTGAGAAATACATGATTTCCTGGAGAAATATCAAGGGTGCCAACAATTTCGGCCATGACTGTAAATACTGCATGATTATTTGAGTTAAAATAACTCATGAGGAATTTTAATTAATTTTTGCACATTATTTACCACAGACGGGCAATCTCTTAGATTGTAAGCTCCGAGGAGCAGGGTCCTCCTATCCCTCTTGTATTGAACTGTATTGTTGCTTTATTGTCTCCCGTTATATTGTAAAGTGCTGAGCAAACTGTTGGCGCTATATAAATCCCGTATAATAATAATAATTTAGCAGTAGTATTCCTACCACTGCTGAATGTTCAGCTCAGCGTTGCTGGTTTGTAAAGAGCCGGCACCTGCCAGTGTTCTAACAACTATAGCTCATCTTCATTCAGCAAGGTGTTCCTACTGACAGCAGAATCCAAACAAAAAAAGCCAACAGTAATTTTTTTTAAACTCGTGCAGTTCCCCTCCAGTCCATACCAGGACCTTTGGGTCTGGTATAGACTCATACAAAAAAAAAAAGAAATCACTTTATTTAAGCTGACAGTTTAATATTTTTAGAGACCTGACAGGGTTTCTTTAAAGTGGTTTGGTCTATAGGAGGGTTTTTATGGAATGTAAATAATATATCTGCACTTTTGTTTTTTTTTTCAGTGCTTGTCAGTTTGTTTCCTCTTATTTCTCTCCTGGGACTTTTTCCTCAAGTAAATACATTTTGTGTGTATTTCCTGGAGCAAGTAGATATCCTTGTGTTTGGTGGCTCTGGTAAGTTTTCTATACATTTTTTAAATATTTTGTTGAATAACACAGTAGAACAGAAATACTACATTTTTTTTGTACCTAAAACATAATTGCAGTTGCTTAAGATGTTATCAATCATGCACATTATCTATGTCCAAACATTAACATCAGATTGTAAAGCGCTGAGCAAACTGTTGGCGCTATATAAATCCTGTATAATAATAATAATAATAATTATTATACACAATAACTTTTTGTAAGTGATTCTGGTGTTCATTAAAGTATGTCCGGGGCTCACTTGCTGTGTGTTCATTCAATCAGTTCCCCCCGTATCTGTGGTGAGGTAAACAATTAAGTGGTTGGCTTTGGGTTAATCCTTGTTGGCTCATCCCTTTGCCTCATTGGCTCTGAGTTTCCTGGTTTTATACATACTCTTTGAAATGTTACGGTTTACATCAGCCCATAAAGTGGACCTAAAGTCCAAAAAGTAACAAAGTATAGGCCCATGAGTATCCACACAACATTAAATAGTGGCCATCTTCAAATAAGCCATCCTGAGGGCACCATATACAACTTACTAGCTGAATGCTCCTACATAAAAAAAAAGAAGTGATGCACCGATACCAGTTCTTTAAGACCGAGTGCATGTGCCAATACTTTTTCCTCAAGTACTCTCCAATACCAATTACTGATACCTATTTTTAATGTCATGTGAAAGTTTTTTTAGACTAATGAAAAATGATTACCGTTTCTTGATAATTTTGAAGAACTCAAAAGACAGTATGAAACAAGTAAAACATTTTTATTTGCTTGTCACAAAGCTGTGAAAGCTCAAATTACACAGAACATGTTTAAATTATTAAATATTATATAAAAAATATGTAAGCATCACAAGTTTACAGCTAATTAAGTGCAGTGCAGTTAGCTGTGTTTAAGCACAAGAAGCAAGAATTGTAGCTCAAAAGACATTATAAAAAAAAATGTTGTAATTAAAAAAAAACAAAATATTTTTATGTGCTTCTAGTTCAACGTCTTACAAATTTTTGAAAGAAACACAGAACATGTTTAACTGATTAAATATTATATAAAACACATGCAAACATCACAAGTTCACAACTAATCAAGTGCTATACAGTTAGTTATGTTTAAGCATGAGAAGCAAGAACTGTACCTCAAAAGACATTATAAAAAAAAATTGTAATAAAAAAAAAATAAAACATTTTTATGTGCTTCTAGTTCAACGTATTACAAGTTTTTGAAAGAAACACATTTCAAAGAACATGATTAAATTGTTAAATATTATATAAAAAAAACATGTAAACATCACAAGTTCACAACTAATAAAGTGCAATACAGTTATTATGTTTAAGAATGAGAAGCTAGAACTGTACCTTAAAAGACATTATAAAAAAAAAATTGTGCAGGAACCCCCCCCCCCCCACACACACACACACACACACACAGAGGATGATATATATATATAGCTCACAGAAAATATTCTTGAGCTTGAATGTAATGCTAAGTGTAACATATCATAGGTAGTGCTGGATAGAGTGCCTTCTTTGTCCCCTTTCACATGGCATTCAGTCTAGATCTATCTGTCAGTTTTCAGATGGATCCAGTCTAAACCACAATGTATTGTATGTCTATGCAGGGCTGCTGTTAGAAGGCATGGGGCCCCATACAGCCAAACTGACAGCCCCCCCCCAAAAAACAAACAAACACAGTTTACTATGCTTCAGTTATGAATGAACACAGTGAGTGATTGGTACCGATCACACATTGTGTTTATTCAGGAAAGGAAGGGGCTGGTAAATGTAACATGCTTACTGTGTACCTGCAGCTCCCGGTGGGAAGGAGAGGAGGGAAGCTGGCAGCACTGCAGAGGTGGGGACTCATTGGTTGGCCTGTGGGAAATGTATGGTGCACAGGGAGTGTGATGGGTGTTTTGGGGTGGGGAAATTACTGGAACTGATCCCCTGTATGGCTCTCTTTGCAGCAGCAAAGGTCAGCTGGAGGGAGAGGAGAAGACAGTTTTCAGCTGCTGCAGAGAAAGCAATAAAGGGGATTGGCTGCAGTAATTCCCCCCCGCCATGCCAATCACCTGCCCACATCCAATTCACTCAGCTACCTGGGCCCCCTGCTGTCCTGGGCCCTGTACAGGAGGACTGGTGGTATCACCTTATCCACGGCCCTGTGTCTATGGGTGGGCGGATGTAAACGGATAATCATCCATTTACATCTGACTGCATCCATTTTAGTTCAGGGACAGTGAACGTCTTGATCCGTTGAAACAGAACAGAATGGATCTAGGCTGATGTAAACTGAACTAAACTGAACTGATATAAACTGATGTTAGGCCTTTTTCACATAGATGTTCTGATTGGGTCCGCCTGCCTGTTTTGCAGGCAGACTCGGATGGGGATCCCATTCCCCTTCCTCTGGATCAGGTTGAATGGAAATGGACAGGGGGTCCGTTTTCATCCAACCACCCATTGAGGAAAGCAAGCTGCTCTTTGTCCGCTCTGCAGCAGCGCAGCGGACACACACCTGTCATCCGCTTGCTCAACGGGGATCAGCGGAGAGATCCCTGCTGAGCAAGAGGATCCGCTAAACAGGTCCGCCCCATGTGAAAGAACCCTGGATTGAACTAAATTGAACTGATATAAACTGAACTGAAGTGCAAACTGATGTAAATTGAGGTAAACTGAATCTGTTTTTTTTTTTTTTTTAATTTGTCTGAAAGGATGAAGTCCATGTGAAAGGGGCCTAATTAAGTCTTGAAACACTGCTGTTCTAGGTTTTGTGGTTTGTAGGCACAAATCCAACACCTCCTGCGCTCAGGGACCCAGATCAGAAACATGCCGATCAAACAATATCTGATTGATATTGTAAAGTTCATCCAATACTGATCAAAGGTTGTGCGGCTCTAACACAAAGCTGGGGAAGCCCGATACAGACTGTAGTAAAGAACAAAAAACAAAGCGCACCAAACTTGTGCATTACCTCAGTAGGTAATTATTAAACGTATTAATAAAATAGATTATTCACAAGAGTAGCAATATAAAAGGCATATAGCATCCAAAAACGAAACACTTGATTAGGAGACACGTAGGAATCCCATCAAGAGGGGAGAGAGACTCTCAGGGTCAAGTTGACGTGTTTCGAAGGGGAGTCCCTTCTTCCTCAGAGCTCCTTTCTTTACCTTAGTCCTGGGAGAAGCAGAGCTGTCATTCTGCCCTGCCAATAAAATAAACAAAGTGGGGCTAAATGACAGCTTCGCTTCTCTCCGCGCTGATTTGAAGCTGGCAAATGACAAATCCAGGTGATGTCACGGGATGACCCCACCCCTTTATTTCGGCAGCAGGGAGAATTGACAATGTAATTTGCAGCTGGCAAGTGACAGCTTTTAACAACCAATGGAAAAATGGACCGTTTGTCCGTTTACATCTGTTTTAGGTTTACTATTTTAGAATTTTATATTTTCCTTATTAGCCTGGGGATACACACCTGAATCTAAATTGCCAATGGATCAGACTGCAGGTGTCCTGTAGAATGCTTAGGGAAATCTTATTTCTGCATATTTTGTAATGACAAATGACTCACTGTAAACAGTTATATTACAACTCTTCTCTTTACCACTTTAGACATGAGGTTTTTAGTTTCCATTGCACACAAAAGTGCCTGTTTTTTATATAATCCACTATAATTGGTAACCATAGTAATTGAATAGTAAATACAATTAAATGAAGTTGAAATGCACAAGATTTTTTAATAAAATTGGTTTAATAAAAATCTATTCTTTTAGATATGTATTTTAAATTTACTTTTTTTTGCAGCAAAATCTGGGTTTTTGTCAGCACTATACAGTTTATTTCGGAGCACTCTTATTGCTGCTCTTTTGTTTATTGTTTGCCACCAATCCATAAAGGTAAGCTTATACTTTTAAAATCACCTTATATAATGCAGTAATGAAACAAGGAGATCTACATTCAGCTAAGATATTCATTTGATTTTAAGAGTTTTGAAGTATACTGGGTGCTTATTCCTAGAAATTCCCAGGTCCTTGCCACATGGCTTACTCAAGAAAGGTTGTATTTGTTGTTTGACTGTTTTAATGTTCAATTAGTTCCCTTGTCTTTACTTAAGGCTAGGCAGCAAATACTCTTTGTAATTATAGAGTGCTGCACTTAAGAATCAGATTTGGTGCAAGCATTGAAGGTGACAGTGTTCACTGGAATCTGGACTCTGCCTGTTGTATAGTGGGGACAGCTATAGAAAACAGGGTATGGCCTAGCATAATAATGTAAGGCTCCTGCCTTAAGCTGGAGTGTCCTTAGTCCAAATTTAGTGGGTAGCTAAGCTGTAGTCAGTCTGGGCTCTAATTTCACACCATTGTTTATTTTTCCTGTTGTTAGTGAATATCTCTGGCAGATACTGTAAGAAGAAACAAAATTAATGAGTTTGAATACTTATTCATCTCTAGAAAATCACTAGCAGGTTTATTGGGGGTGATGCATACTTGACGAGTATTTAAATATTTGGGGTAACCGTGGAGAAGAGTTATTGTCTCCTGGGCTGTTGTCAGGAGAGCTGGCAGTGTTGGAGGTCTTTGTCTTTCCAATCTTTGCCTGAAAAGGAGGTGTTGCAGGTAATTTTTGCTTCCCAGAACTACTACAGTGGAGGGTAAGACTAAAAGAAGGGCCAGAGTCTGGGCCTAGGAAGTGTATGCTACCATGCTGAAGAGTATATCCAGATGGAATGGAACAGGAAGATGGTTGTCTATATGGAGCATCTTTTAAAGACGCTTTGCTGCTAAATAGTGTCCTGGAGAGTTGATATCAGCTGTGGCTAGTGGTCATTGCAGGAAGTTCTGGTTGCTTATCATTGGAGATACTTGTGCTACTGGTTCTGTTTAACAGTCTACAAATATAGATGGTCTCTGCTTAAATGTACAGTTGTGTTCAAAATAATAGCAGTGTGTTGAAAAAAGTGAATAAAGCTCAAAATCCTTCTAATAGTTTTTATTTCCATACACACAAATGCATTGGGAACACTACACATTCTATTCCACATCAAAACATGAAAAAAAATATATCAAATTTGTGTTGTTCCTCTAAACAAATTGAAAAAAAGTGAATATTAGACTGTTCAAAAAAATAGCAGTGTTTGTATTCTTCTTTACAAACTCAAACATTCACTATATAAACTGAAAAATGTTTGAACATTTTGCTTTCCTTTGAATCACTTAATTAATATTTAGTTGTGTAAGCACTGTTTCTGAGAACTGCTGTACATCTGTGTTGCATGGAGTCAACCAACTTCTGGCACATCACAAACACACAAACACATCTGGTGTGTTTGGGGTCGTTGTCTTGTTGGAACACCCATTTCAAGGGTATTTCCTCTTCAGTATAAGGCAGCATGGCCTCCAAGTATTCTGATGTATTCAAACTGATCCATGATCCCTGGTATGCGATAAATAGGCCCAACACCGTAGTATGAGAAACATCCCCATATCATGATGCTTGCGCAACCATGCTTCACTGTCTTCACAGTGTACTGTGGCTTGAATTCAGTGTTTGGGGGTCGTCTGACAAACTGTCTCCAGCCACTAAACCGAAAAAGAACAATCTTACTTTCATCAGTCCACAAAATGTTGCGCCATTTCACTTTAAGCCAGTCAATGTGCTCTTTGGCAAATTGTAACCCCTTCAGCACGTCTTTTTTTCAACAGTGGGACTTTGTGGAGACTTCTTGCAGATAGCTTGGCTTCACATAGGCGTCTTCTAATTGTAACAGTACTCACAGGTAACTTTAGACCTTCTTTGATCTTCCTAGAGCTGATTGTTGGCTGAGTCCTTGCCATTTTGGCTATTTTTCTATCCATTCGAATGGTAGTTTTTCGCTTTCTTCCACGTCTTTCAGGTTTTGGTTGCCATTTTAAAGCATTTGCGATCATTTTAGCTGAGCAGCCTATCATTTTCTGTACTTCTTTATATGTTTTCCCCTCTACAATCAACTTTTTAATAAAGGTACAATGTTCTTCTAAACAATTTCTGGAACGACCCATTTTCCTCAGAATTTCAGAGAGAAATGCACTGTAGCCAGCATGTACAACATTTGCTGCCTTCCTTCCTTAAATAAGGGCAATAATTGCCACCTATTTTTCAAAGAATGAATGACCTCACTAATAGAACTCCACATTGCTATTATTTTGAACATGCCCCTTTCAATTAGTGATTCAATTACACAGAATTAACAGCATGCATGTCATGACTGTTGGGTCTGTTGGATTTCTATTACTCTACTACACCTGCTAGTAAATTATTTGCCATGTAGAAATATAATTTCTACCAAAAACAGTGATTGATCAGGTTAGTGATGTCTGACTGCTATTATTTTGAACACAACTGTACAAAGCCTGTGTGGACTATTTTTAGAAGAGTAGTCTGGAGTCATTTTTTCTATTCTGGGTTAATCTGTGTCCTAACCCTCTTTCTTTTCTGTATTGTGCTTTAATAAACCCTTTGAGTCTGGGATCAAACTAATGCAGCGTTCTAAATTGACATATACCCATTGCCTTTCAACCTACAAAAAGGTAAGGATTCCGCGCAGGGGTTAGAAATGCTAGCCTTTCGAGGCGCCTGGAGGTCCTTATCTGCCCAGAAGTATGGGGGTTCTACAGCAAGCAGAACCTCTAGTGATAGAAAATGTGGAACAATATTTTATTAAAAAAAATGATTAGATACAGTTAAAGGAATAGCTGGAAAATTATATATTTTAAATAGCATACTAGATTTGAATGTATCAATTACCATGCAAACATATGTCTTTGTAATTGTTTATTTATTAGGAGCCCTGGGACATTAGACACATACCACCTCCTTTTTCTATTTTTTGTGGTCTTTTGATTTCGCTTTCCTATCACTTGAGCCGGCAAAGTAGTGATCCATTTATTCTAATGTAAGTAACATTTCTAATAATAATAGCTATATCATGTATGTAGTTAACAATGTTAGAAATAAAGACAGTTAGTCTTTATCATTCTAGATTTCCTAACATAGGTTTGGTTAAACTGAACTCTAGTATTATTTTTTCATCTTCAAGGTTTTTTGTTGGGAATCAATTGTTGATTACAACACTCTGTAGACTGTACAGATTTGTAATTTTGCATTTCAAACAAAGCTTAGTATGAGAAATGTGTTTGTACAACAGCTCAGATCATTCAGATGCATAGTTACTGTAGTCTCTACAGACGATAGACTGGATTGTTTAACCAGGGTCAGAAGGGACTGTAGGAAGACCAACAAGGAGGAGGGTGGTGGTGGTCATCCTGGGGTGTATGGAGCTAGGAGAGGCCACACCTAAGCTCTGAGTGACAAGGTAAAGTTGGCAATGTAGAAATAGGTGCGTTAGGGTTCTAGTAGGAAGAGATCAATATCTGGTAGTAAGTATATGTCTATACAGTGCAGCCACACCTTGATGTACTCATCACTCCAGTCCTCCAATGTGGCTTTGATCTCATCATGAATCATGGCCTATATAACTTGGTTTTTGGTTTCAAGAAAGCAGAGCCTAGGTGTTTTCCAGGCCTTGGCTATTGTCTGGTTGCTGTAGGGAGTTGAAAGTTTAAACCAACTCACAGTGATCCAAACTAAATTGACAGGTGCCACTCAAGCCTCCACCAGGTCCTCTTGTGTAGCAACTGCTTGGAGTGCAGACAAGGACAAGAAGGTGTATGACAGCCTCAGCCTGAGCTGCAACCAGGCCATGCCCCCAACACATTTCACTCCGCCCACAAGGAGTTTATGCATTGGGATCCCTTTTCCAACTCAGGAAACATAAAGCAGGCATTATTTAGCAGTGGCACAGATAGGTCAGGGTATATTTTGAAGGAAAACCGGAAGGCTTTAGCCCAAAAGAGTGCAAATGTTGGACAGGTCCACCAGATGTATTCCCTGTGCAGCTCATCCTTTAAGGCACTCTGCAGTCTGAAAAAGCTCAGTACATTTTTTTTTTTACTTAGGTAAAATGTAGCCCATTATTTACAATGTGCCTTTGCACACAGGCACGTAAAGAAGCTCCGGGTATTTTTCAGTAAAAAAAGAAATAGGAAAATCTGCATTTTTTTGTCAGTAATTTGCTGTGTGTTTGCGCATTTGAATGCAAATGCATGCAAATGCGCGCAAATGCGCACAAATACCTGCATATGAGCATAAATATTAATGAATGTTTCCTAAGAATATATTGTGTGCGCAAATGTGCGATCAAGCATATGCACACATATATGCACATAAATAAGTGCGAATACGTGCAAAACAAATGCCTGATATTACATTAAAAAGTAGATGCTCAAACATCAGTACCGTGTGCAAGAGGCCTAAAGCAGGAGGATGGAAGCTGGGGTACAAACTTATTTATCCTTTCCTGGACCAGGTACCAGTAAGGCAGCACATTATAGTTTGTTTCAAGGACTGCAGTGTTTAGTGAGGAGAACTTTATTGTGGCCTAGATTTGGTCCTAATCTTCTTCCTCAAGAGAAACACCAAGATCAGCTGTCCATTTATTAATATATGAGGGAGTTTAGAGAAGACAAGTGGGGTTGAATATGTGTTGGAGATTTCTGTTAGTTTTTTTGCCATATGTGTCTTATAGGAGAGATTTCCCTTCACTTCCCATCCCATAGCCAAAACAAGAAGTAAAAGGAAATCCATCCAAAGTTATTGGATCCTGGGGTGTCACTAGGGTCACCAAAACTATTGTCCTCCTTGGAAGATTTCTCCTCTATTCCTGTTCTAGAGACAGCACAAAATTTGGTGACTATCTTTGACTTTTGGGTGGGTGCAGAGGGTGCAGACAACAATAACAACTGACAGGTGTTCTAATCCCGTTCCATTCTAATCAAAACTAAAAAGCTTTGCCTTTTGTTAAATTAAATAATGTACTTTAAATTTCTCTTATAATGACTCTTGCATTTGTCAAAAACATTACCTGGGTAGGGCAGATTGATCAGGAAGAAGAATAGGGGAATGTCACTTTTTTATTTTTTATATTCAAGCAGTATAAGAATTTTACTTGGTATCAGCTTCTTGCAGCCTACTGTACAGACAAAACAGCAGAAGTTATGGAGGGGGAAGAAGCATAAAGAGACATTCAGGTGTTTTGCAGTGCTTTTGCAAGGAGTCATACTGCTAGGAAGAGAAAGCAGAGAGATGTGCTCATCAGTGTGCTTCTTCCCCTGTCATGGACCAGTCACGGGGGGGGGGCAGGGGGGGGGGCGGGACTATATCAGGGGTTGGTGAGAAGGATACCTGTAAGTAAAAGTGAAACTGCAGTAGAAAAAGATCAGTTTCCCTGCTAGAAAGGGATGTAATGTGCATCAGAGCTCCTTTGGCAGGTTAAACATCTCTCATATACTGTATGTAATACATCTTTTTTTTTCAGCTGTTTGCCTGGAGTTCAGCTTTAAGGAAAAAAACTCAGAAATGTACAGTATATGCTGTTGAGGATTTAGCAAGCCCGTTGCTTTGCTCTGCAAACATAATCTAATTCCTCACATATTAGGGCCATTATGCAAACACAATCTAATTCCCTACATATTAGGTCCATTATGCAAACACAATCTAATTCCCCATATATTAGGGCAATATACAAACATAATTTAATTCCCCATATGTTAGGGCCATTATTTTTTTGTTTTTGCTGATAAACTTGTTACTTTATAAATCAACTTATTACTTAGTAAAATGTAACAAAGCATGACATCCAGCAGAGGGCCTTGGTGATTTCTATGTCATTAATTCTTAATTGATTCTGCAATCATGTGATAAGATAATTTTGTTTGCTTATTTTTTTTTTTTTTTTTTATAGATCCCTGGTAAAATGTAACATTTTTCGCAGACTGTTTTGTGAAAATGTCAAAAGTATTCCAACACAGCAAGAAGATCCTTTACCACAGAAGATAAAGACCATAGTGGTAAATTTCCTGTGCAGTGTGGTTGATTTACTAAAGGCTAATAAACTGTTCACTTTGCCAGGGAATTAGCTCAGTCGATGTGGTTTAAATCCACCTTGCAAAGAATACCTAATTACATGCAATGGAAATAAAAAAAACCACAGTATTTTTGCTTACACATGATTAGATGATGTAACTAAGTCAGCAAAGTTTCACCTAATTTATTATTATTATTTCTATTATTATTATAATACAGGATTTATATAGCACCAACTGTTTGCTCAGCACTTTACAATATAACGGGAGACAATGCAGCAACAATACAGTTCAATACAAGAGGGATAGGAGCAGGGGCGGACTGACCATTTGGAAATTCGGGCACTGCCCTAGGGCCCAGGGTCAGTAGGGGGCCCCATGAGATGCCCCTGGTACCTTTTTCATAGGCTTTTTTGAGTTTGGGCAAGGATACGGGGCCCCATGATCCCCTATTGCCCGGGGGCCCTATGAGTTGTCAGTCCGCCCCTGGATAGGAGGGCCCTGCTCCTTGGAGCTTACAGTCCACTAAGTTAAGGGAATAAAGTGGGGGGTCAATTTCCTCCCTTTTCCATTTTTAGAACTAGAAAGAGAAACTCCACTTTTATTGAGAAAAAAAACAACTCCCTCTTGGTGATCAATGTATATTGCGAGTATTTTAACAAACATTGTTGCAGATTCCTATCTGTTTATCTTCTGAAGAAATAGCTGTTTGTTTCAACATGTCTTGTCCAGAATTATTCCAAATGGGAGGGTCTGGTTCACTATAATCAGCCAGTGAACTCTGCAGTTGGCATGCCATTAGAAGTGACTATCACTTTTGGAGTATCTCACCAGAAATGGAATTTCTATTGCTTGAGTATGCCTAAAATCTGACTTATCCTACTGTAGACTTCTGGGAAAATCAGTGATCTAATCACACAAGCAGGATATCACATTTTTTAGGCAATTTGCACACCAGCTGTGTACAGAACGCCTCCAGGTTGCCATATTGCGTTGAATTTTACAGAAAATTACAGCACTGCAAAAATAGGTCATTTTTAGGAATATTAAATTACAATATGGCTTGTGTAGCAATTGTATATTCTATATGAGGCTTTTTTTGGCTATATTTTGTTTATTACAAAAGTGGAGTTATCCCTTTAAATCCAGGCAGATACACAGACAGAGAAAAGCCACCAGACATGCTTCATGCAAGATACCATAATTCTTTTTCTTCTTTTTCCTCTTCCTCTTCTTCTTCGTTCAGGGATCAAGAATAAGTATTGCAGAGAGTTTAGGGGTCAGGAGTAAGTAACGCAGAAAGCTCAGGGGTCAGGATTAAAGTGATTCTAAAGGCTGAAAGTTTTTTACCTTCATGCATTCTATACATGAAGGTAAAAAAAATCTTCTGCGTGCAGCAAAGCCCCCAGCCCCCCAATACTCACCTAAGCCCCCTCTCACTGGAATCTCTGGCTATCCTGGAACTCCCTATTCTCATTGGCTGAGACAGAAATGGGAGCCATTGGCTCCCACTGCTGTCAGTCACAGCGAGTGAGCCAATGAGAAGAAAGAGAGGGTGGGGCCGAGCCACGGCTCTGTGTGTGAAAGGACACGCGAAGCAGCAGGTGCCCCCATAGCAAGTTGCTTGCTGTGGGGGCACCCGACAGGAGGGAGTGGCCAGGAGAGCCTGAAGGGTACCTGAGAAGAGGAGGATCCAGGCTGCTCTGTGCCAAACCACTGTTCACAGCAGGTAAGTATAGACATGTTTGTTATTTAAAAATAAAAAGCCTTTATAATCACTTCAGGTAATTAAAAGCAGAGAATTCGGGGATCAGGATTAAGTCATTCAGAGAGTTCAAAAGTGAGGATTTAAGCAATGCAGAATGTTTAAGGGTCGAGATTAAATAACACACAGAGTTCAGAGATCTAGGGATCAGTTTAAGGATCAGGATTAAGTAACACACAGAGTGCATGGGCCAGGATTAAGTAACGTACATAGTTCAAGGTTCAGGAATGAGAAACACACAGAGTTCAGAGGTCTGGATTAAATTGGTTGCAACCCTAAAAAAAATAATGATCCTGTTCCTTTAAAGCATGATAAGTAGCATAGGGTTTCTGCAGTGTCATTTGTCCCATTCTATGCTCTCAAATACCTGGTTGATCCTGCCTATTCCTGTGTCCCCTTAGGTGTGCTGACGACGGTAATCATGGCTGCTGATCCATGATACTGTGGTCAGCTTATGTGCCTCTGTCATCCCGCTATGTGTAGTTTCTCTCCCTCTCCCCTGCCTCTCATTTCCAAGTCAGTGTGTGTGAGAGACGATACCCAAACCCACCCCTCCCCTCTCCTCCTGTATGGTTGTAAAGTCACAGTGCATAATTACAGTTATCTACTCTGTCCTAGCACACTATACAATCATGTGTGTTTTTTTTTTTTGTTTGTTTTTTTTAATGATGAGGCTAAATACCTTATTTCACACAGTCGCTATGCAATCATGTGACCTCCCGGCTGACGTCAGAGGGGAATCTCAGCCCCTCCCACTGCTCTCCTTTGATCAGGGAAGGAGAGTGGCAGGACGTCACATGAACACACAGTTCAGTGGTCAAATTTAAGTGATGCGCAGGGGTCAGGAATACAGAAAGTAACACACAGAGCTCAGAAGTCAGGATTAAATAACAGAGTTCAGGGGTTGGGATTAATAACTGTCAGGGATTAAAATTAGGTAATACACAGAGTTCAGGGTTACGATTGAGTAAGTAACACAGAGAGTGCAAGAGTCAGGAGCAAGTAATGCAGAGAGTTTAGGGTCAGGATTAAGCACTGCAGACAGTTCAAGGATCAGGGTTAAGTAACGCAAAGAGTTTATAGTTAGGAGTAAGTAATACACAGGATTCAAAAGTCAGGAATAAATAACAAACAGAGCTCAGGGATCAGGATTAGGTAATGCAAATGGTTCAGAGGTCAGGATTAAGTTAGGCAGACAGTTCAGAGTTCAGGGTTAAGAGTTTAGGGATCAGGTCAACAGTGAGCTACTTACAGATTCCAGCTTGTGTCTGTCATACCAAGGGCCCAGCATCACTCAGGAGAACTGAGTACTGGTTACTTACATTTTCATTCAATATCAATTATTATAGTTACTTTTGTAGCTGTAATAAAATAAGTGAAGTGAATATCATTAAGCATATGAGACGTTTGGATTATGATTTATTTTTTATGTACATTATCAAGGTAGAAGATAGGTATTCTTTTTTATTTATAAACATGCCTTTGTTTTATTCTGAAATCATTTAAAATTGTTTTAATATATTTAAATTATATTGTTTGCCATGCATGGACATCTAATGGATATCTAATCACAAACTTGTTTTTTTTACAGAAAGAAATTTTGATTTCTGATCTTATTGTCTGCACAGCGATTGCTATTTTAACATTTGCAGTCAGTGCCAGCACAGTGTTTTTGTCACTAAGAGTAAGTAGTATATGTATAATCTGGAAAGATTAATGCAAAATTGCAAATTACAATTTTGTTTCTGGTCACTGTGTAACTTTTTACTTACTATTGGTTGTACGGTGCTCATGTTATATAAAGAATCTATGGGGCTGACTTAGTAAATCTATAGAAAAGTAAATATGCACAAATAGAGTTAAGAATAAGAATTCTTCGGAAATGAAGTAAATCATCACATGCTGGATGGGGCTGGATTGGAGCAGTGAATTAGAAAAGCTGCTGCAAGTTGGAGTGCAGTGATTCTTTTTTTTTTCTTGATTGATTTCCTGGTATGCAAGGAGATGGACCAGCACCCAAGAATTATGCAGCGGAGAATGTGATAAGTCACTCACTGGAGCAGTATGCATACACTATATTGCCAAAAGTATTGGGACACCCCTCCAAATCATTGGATTCAGGTGTTCCAATCACCTCCATGGCCACAGGTGTATAAAACCAAGCACCTAGACATGCAGACTGCTTCTACAAACATTTGTGAAAGAATGGGTCGCTTTCAGGAGCTCAGTGAATTTAAGCGTGGTACTGTGATAGGTTGCCACCTGTGCAATAAGTCCATCCATGAAATTTCCTTGCTACTAAATATTCCACAGTCAACTGTTAGTGGTATTATAACAAAGTGAAAGCAACTGGGAATAACAGCAGCTCAGCCACTAAATGGTAGGCCACGTAAAATGACAGAGCGGGGTCAGTGCCTTCTGAAGTGTGCAGTGCACAGAAGTCGCCAGAGTCAATAGCTAAAGACCTCCAAACTTCATCTGGCCTTCAGATTAGCAAACAACAGTGCATAGAGAGCTTCATGGAATGGGTTTCCATGGCCGAGCAGCTGCATCCAATCCTTACATCACCAAGTGTGGATGCAGTGGTGTACTCATGTTCTCTAGAGTGACGAATCACGCTTCTCTGTCTGGCAATCCAATGGATGTGTCTGGGTTTGGAGGTTTCCAGGAGAACGGTACTTACCTGACAGCATTGTGGCAAGTGTAAAGTTTGGTGGAGGGGGGATTATGGTGTGGGGTTGTTTTTCAGGGGTTGGGCTTGGCCCCTTAGTTCCAGTGAAGAGAACTCTTAGGGCTTGTTCACACTTGACTAAATTTCTAACTCTTACCAAATGCTCCTATAGCTTTAGTATAGGCGTTAGACAGGAGTTAATGAGCTTTAATATGGTCTTTAGACTGGCTTTTTACAAGCATTAAAAATGCTCCCCAAACACCCTATGTGTTTCACGTTTTGATAATGAGAACAGCACTGTGTGCTGCCCATAGTATCATTTGCATAGGCGTTTGAGAAGCGTTAAAAATGCCCCTCAAATGCCTGCTTTCAATGCCAGTGGGAACTAGGCCTTAAGGCGTCAGCATACCAAGACAGTTTGGACAATTTTATGCTCCCAACTTTGTGGGAACAGTTTGAGGATGGCCCCTTCCTGTTCCAACATGACTGTACACCAGTGTGCAAAGCAAGGTCCAAAAAGACATGGATGAGAGTTTGGGGTGGAGGAACTTGACTGGTCTGCACAGTCCTGACCTCAACCTGATAGAACACCTTTGGGATGAATTAGAACAAAGACTGCATCTGGCATCAGTCCCTGACCTCACGAATGCACTTCTGGAAGAATGGTCAAACATTCCCATAGACACACTCCTAAACCTTGTGGACAGACTTACCAGAAGAGTTGAAGCTGTTATAGCTGCAAAGGGTGGGCCAACTCAGTATTGAACCCTACAGACTAGGACTGGGATGCCATTAAAGTTCATGTGCGTGTAAAGGCAGGTATCCCAATACTTTTGGCATTCTTGTGAAATATGAATTCTTGTTTTTTTCTTCATAAATGAGTAGTTACAGCAGATTAATTTCTAAGGGAATCAAATCCCATTTGTGCCTATTTTTGTTTTTTAACATGTTGTACTTACCTACTCTGTGGTTTTGCACAGAGCAGACCTGATTGTCCTCTTCTGGGGCCCCCCCAATGCTCTCTACTCCTCTTCTCCTTCCTATGGTGGCACAAGGGAAGACTCAATCCTGGGCTGCACTCTGTGTGTCCAATCACTAAGCCCCTCCGTCTGCTACCACATCAATGGAATTTGTTTGACAAAACCAGGAGCCAATGGCTCCCACTGCTGTCACTGAGCCCAGTGAGGAGGGAGAGAGAGAGAGGCGCCTCTGCTCTCGGTCACAGTGCTGTATCTAGATCGGGTTTAGGTAAGTATTTAGGGGGCTGGCAATAGAAATAGAAAGTTTTTTTTAACTTAAATGCAAAGAATGCATCAAAGTGAAAAACCTTCAGCCCTTACAATCACTTCACTATAGCAATACAGAAGTACAATACAGCAGTTTAAATATTTTTAATTTGATTTTAAAATGACATATTTTATTTTCCCCCAGTATACAGTAGGATTACATTCCAATACACTACTAATACATTTTATTACACACAGGAGTAAAAGGAGTAAAAACTCTTGGTGCAGGTGTTTTCATTTATGGTGATTATTTCACCTGCAGTCAATGTTTAGTAAATGTAATATTTTCTACTTTTTAAATATGACTCTTAAAGTGATTGTAAAGGTTCAGATTTTTTTTTTAAATAACAAACATGTCATACCTATTCTGTGAAATGGTTTTGCACAGAGCGGCCCCCAGTCCTCTTCCTCTCTGGTCCCCCCTGCTGGCATCCCATTCCCCTCTCCCTGCTTAGTGCCCCCAAAGCAAGCTGCTAGCTCTGGGGGCACTTGTACATGCTTACTCCTGAGCCGCCTCTATGAGACACACAGAGCTCAGCTTGGCCGCGCACCCTCTCCTTCGTCACTGGCTGTGATTGACAGCAGTGGAAGCCAATGGCTCCCACCGCTGTGTCTGCGCTAATGAGGAAAGAGAGACCAAGGAGAGTGTCCACTCTTTTGCACATCGCTGGATCAGGATCAGGCTAAGGTATTAAGGGGGGATGAGGGTAGAGCTGCAAACTCCTGCAAAATGGACAGGTCAGTCACATCTTCCTGTATTTTTTTTTTTTGGATCAGCCTCACTAAAGAAACTTTCTAAAGAAAAATAGAGTAAGGGAAGACTGTCCAGCTATAAATGGAGAGTGGATGTCAACAAGAAGTGATCAAATGGATTAAAGCATTGGCTGTAAACCCAGCCTTCCTCCTGCCAAGCCCTGGTTTTCTGTCTCCTCTGGCAGCTAGACATTAGATGTTGCAGCAGATGGGGGCCTTGGCTCAGCAAGAATGCATTGTTTTCCACTCCCTCTGGCATGGGGGTGAAGATGCAGGGGTCATTCTGGCCAGCTTTGGCTACCTTGTCCACCTGACTGTGCCAGTAAGGTGATCAACACCAGGTTTCAGCTTTCCTACTGGTACAGAGAAGGTTGGAGAGAGCCTTGCAGCTTTGCCCTGACTTCAGGGGCCAATGGGAGCACACAACTGCATGGATTTATTGCTAGAGCTGCACACTGCCCTCATCCTGAAAACTTTTCTCTGCTGTCTTGCATGCTCAGTGCTTCTTCCCCAGTGATCACTATTCTTTATTTCATTGATACCTAGTTTGAAAGTGCTTCTTGTAAGTTTGTATCTATACTAATTGGTGTTTGCATTCATTTGTCAGCAAAATTGTCTGCTCCAGGGACTTAACATTACATTAAAAATGAGAATTGAAAATGTGTAAGGAACTGCATTAGTAACTAATAGGAAAATCTGATTTCACTGTTTATTTTTGGGGAAACATTATACAAGAATTTGATTGGTTGCTCTGGGATACAGTTTTCTTATCTTCTGTTTTATTGGATTGACCCCATAACTTCTTATGATAATTAGTGTAAGTGTATCTATAGCCCAAACTTTTTTGTTTGTTATGGATAGAGTAAGGAAGGTTTAGAATATATGGCAAAATTAGGCCAATAACATTCTACCCATCAATCACACCCATGTTGGGGCATGAAATGTTTTGGAAGAATTTACTGGGCCCTGGTCTCCCTAAGGTTGAGAACCACTGTTTAAAGCATGTCTTAAGCTGGTTTCCTATTATAGCCACTGCATTTAATAATTGTTTCAGTGCTTTCCCAGTGATGTGCTAATAGGATTCCCAAACAGCCTGCCTGTTTTTTTGGTTCACATAGGATTTAGGCCTTATATAGTCTAATTGTCTTCTCTTTTCTAACTTCTTTTCTAATTGTATAGTACAAGACACAGACTAATGCAGGCCATAGATGGGGAGAAAAACGGCAGATTTTTCTTTTAAAAAACGAAAATTCGGTCGTTCAAGCGGCCGACGTTGCCATCAATGGTAAAAAAAATCGGCCGATTTTCATCCCTTCTACAGCCAGCAAAAAGTGTCCCTGAAGAGAGCTCTGCTATTTCTGACAGTTCCTTGACATTTACAGCGGTTGAAACATTGTATCTATTTATTTCCATTTAGGATACAGATGTTTTTATTCGGAAACAAATAGATACAATGTTTTCAACCACTGTAAATGTCAAGGAACTGTCAGAGAACTGTCAGAAATAGCGGAGCTCTCTGCAGAGACACTTTTTGCTGGACTGGAATTATTCTTATTTTCATCCTACTTCTTCTTCTTCTTCTTCTTCTTCATCCTCATCCTTCTTCTTCTTCATCCTCATCCTCTTCTTCATCCTCATCCTCTTCTTCATCCTCATCTTCTTCATCCTCATCCTCTTCTTCTTCATCCTCTTCTTCTTCTTTTTCATCCTCATCCTCTTCTTCTTCATCATCATCCTCATCCTCCTCCTCTTCTTCTTCTTCTTCTTCTTCATCATCCTCATCCTCTTCTTCATCCTCATCCTCTTCTTCATCATCATCCTCATCCTCTTCTTCTTCATCCTCTTCTTCTTCTTCTTCATCCTCATCCTCTTCTTCTTCATCCTCATCCTCTTCTTCTTCATCCTCATCCTCTTCTTCTTCATCCTCTTCTTCTTCCTCTTCTTCATCCTCTTCTTCATCCTCTTCCTCTTCTTCTTTTTCTTCTTTTTGTCTTC